TCCTTCTAACTTCTTAAAGTTTGGCGATTGTGAGGTAACTTGCTTAAGGATGGGCAGTTTTTGAGATGCCCAATCAAAAATCTCCTATTGATTATTAAGATATTTCTAAGCGATTCCGAATTAGAAGTGTTTAAACTTTAGTCGTCCTCTTAACATTTGGCATTCTAGCAGTTGGCCCTTCTAACATTTCAAAAGCTAGAAAAATACGAAAAAGTGGTTCGAAAAAACACATTTTGAGCCGCACAATCAGCATAAGTTAGAAAAAATGATTATATTCCAAGTTAAGAGCTTTTAAACGTTGGTAGTCCCGAAAAGTTTGAAAGTTTTCCTTCTAGCAATTTAAAGGTATTTTTATTATTCTAACTGTTTCTTAGTTAGAAGCTTTTAAACTTTAAAGAAGAATAGTCTTCGCCGCTCAAACCAAAAAATTACTGGAATTTCGAAAATGTTCTCAACCGTTTTCGAACAAGAAGCTTCTAAACTTTGAGCGTATTTTAAAATTCGGCATTTCGGCTTTAATTAGGCCCTTCTACTTTTTTAAGAGTTAGGAACGGATTTGTTAACGTTGCTTCATTTATTTCTGTGGGAAGCACTTAAAATGTGCATATACATATAAAAATGATTTTCTTTTGAGGAAAAAAACTGCGATGGGTTTTCAAGCCTATGAACACAATTTCAAAAAGTAACTGAAAACCCCAACTGTACACAAATTGCACAAAGAAGAGAGGAAGAACCCAGCCGTTGCCAACGCTCTTCGCAATCAGAGGTCACAGTGGTAGAGGCCCCTGATTGGACCAGCTACTCTTAACCTACTTCGCTCAGACCAGTTTGAGGTCATCGATTTCGATTGATTAAATGGTTCGGGTTGGCTCACCAGTGCAGTTTCATCCTGAACACGTTGCATGCACCAAGTAAGAACCACTTTCACCACCCATTCGACACCAAGAGCGCCGGCAAACTGAAATCAAAGGCCAAAGTCGGTACCAGTGCAAGTGCGAAGCGATTGGGCTTGGTGATGGTCAATAAAAGCGTTCATCGCAGAAGAATGAATCGGCCGAAAGAGGTCAAGTTTGGGGTTCCAGTCAGTCTCGTTTAATTGTATTTTGTGAGGAAAAAGGCGTGAAATTGGAAGCTACTGGGTCTTCACCCACATCTTTCTTCAAAGAGGAATATTTATTAGAAGCGCTAGAATTTTTCTGAAATGAAAGTGGTACCAAAGTGATACCGATCGGGCTGGAGAATCGCGGGGGATTTATGGAAACGATACCAATACAACAATCATTAGAAAAAAATAAATTTTATGTTTCGTCTTCCGAAAACCACCATCAACTTTTACGAGTCCCATGCAATTTTGAAACTTTCCAGTGATAAAAATTGGATCTTAAGTGACGGGTTTTCAAAATGTTTCAATACCGCTCTGTTTCTTTGGTTTCTCAATCAAAATGTTACCTAATTGATAAATCAATGTATTTATAGCGCATTAATGCAAAGATATATTAAAAGCCAATAATATACAATACACGCTATATTGATAGTTTTATCTGTTTTCAACCAAATATTATTGTTCTAGTCCAATCAACACTGGGTTTAATTTATTCACTACTTGCTATTAATATTAATCTATGACTAGACGATAAAAAAGTAATGAAGTATTAATTAAGCTAATCAGCAACACTTCATTAACTGATTACCAAAATTCAATAAAAATAATTGCAAGTTGTACTTTAGCTTCACAACAAATTATTTGTGAGTAGTGTAGTTATACGTATTTATCATCCGTTTCCAATGAATCATTTGCTGAGAATCGTAAAAAAGTTCCCTAGCTAATTATAACAATATTCGCTTTAAACAACAGAGATGTTTTGGAAATTCTGTGATCTGGTTAGTTTTTAGTGATTCCACTAGTGCGTCCAAATGTTTAAAGAAAAATGTTCACCCAAGTTCGTTTTTAAGTAAATTGTTAATTCATGAGCGTTTTGTTTTGGGTGTTTTGGAATTTCAAATCAGTCTATTTCGCAGGAAATTCGCAATTTATATTGCGCTAGACTACAAAAAAATTGCAGAGTTTGCCACATTTCTCCAGACCAAAATATTACCCATTTTCATCCATATTTTCAGCGTCTTTTTTTTATTTTACCATTTGAAATGTGAAATATATCTAAAAGTTACTGTAACATCCTGTAATATAGCAGATCTAGCGTTATTATTACCTAAGCGTTGATTATTGTGGACAATTTGGGTATTTTTTGATGGTGATGTAAATGTTTTCAAAAATTTCTCAGTCAATATTGAAAATAAGCCGATGGTTGGTTTTAAGGCCAACAAGTGCTCCAACTGTTGCTGTTTTTGTGAAAGTAGTTTGCAAATTTGAAATATTTTTGGTAAATTTTCGATCAATTTTTCAAATCAGCATAACCATTGTCAACCATTTCGGCGGGGTTTAAAAAAAAATGCATTGTTCAAAAAGGAAAAGTATTTGAAAATTGATTCTAACGTCATGAAATAGAGAACACGCTACACGAGAAGTATCTCGCTCTGATAGTAAATTTTTGCATATTTTTCTAAAAATTGTTAGTCAAAATATGAAATAACTAAATAGTTGATTTCCTCGTTGTCATAAAAAAATATATTTTTTCGGGCAGTAATATTGGAAATTTACAATATTTTTCGTAAACTGAACTCCTAAAATTGTTCATATATATATAAAAACAATCTTTATTTCCTACAGGAAAAGGCTATCCACCCAATCGGTCTTTCTGCCCTAAAATTGTCCATTTTAATCAAATTGTCTTTTTTAAAAGTTTTAACATTCGGCCGAAAAAATGGCTAGACAATTAACGTTAGTCTGAAGTAGAGAGCATTTGCCTTATTAGATTTATATTTTCTAACCCATTTTGGAATATTTTTAGAGCCAAACATTATTCTCGTGGTTACCGTTGTGTCAATATGTTTAAACCAATCCCAGTCCAAATGGATTGAAAATATTCATACATTTGAGCATTCAACGCAAATGCAAAATCAAGACTTTTGCAAATGTTTCTCTTTATATTGAGCATATTGTGACATAATTTTTGTTACCACAAGTAACAAACAGTTATGGCAAAAAAATAAAAGACAGAAAATTGAGATTAAAGGCATCCTGTAAAGCAAGTCTTCCACTCTCTCACAATTAATGTCGCATTCAAGCGAGTTAATTTTAAATTATGTTTTAATGCACGACTTTCTACTGCTCTATTCAGAAGCTTGATACTGTCGCTTAAAGAATGCCGCAATTTTCAAATTTTGCATGAAGCGAGTCAATTTTAGGCGATTTTTCAATACAAGAGTTTCTACTGTTCTCATTAGAAGCTTGTTACTGTTGCTTCAAAAATATCTGAATCAAAACTGAAAACAAGCACATAGTTGGCCGTAAGGCCATAAAATAGCAAAACTGTTGCTCTATTAGAACAAGGACTTTACAGATTTTCAACATTTTGGCCGAGATAAATAATATAAATATAACAATAATAAATAGCCAGATAAATCATACATGAAACTTAAAGCCCCATTACCTACATTGAGAAAATGGTGTCCTAATTGTTAATTAACTTGGGAAATTTGGCAAACTTTTGTCCATTTTTTTAGAAAACCTTTGATACTGTTCAAACTGAACAAATTGCGGCACAACTGTTTAAAGAATTTTAGCATTCAAAATGAAAAATGAATAGAAATTTCACTAAATAGTCTGAAATAGAGACACTTTGCTTTATTATTGTTACAACTTTCAAATTCTAGCCAATTTTGGTATTGGTTTATACAGCCATCGTTCCATTTAGGACCGTTGTATTAATCTCAGTCAAAACCGGAAATTGTACACATTTGGTTTTAACGCGGTTAAATTGCAAAAATTGTGGGCCTCGAAAGCAAAATGTTTGCATTTTTTTCACATTTCTCCTTCACTTTTGGAATAACGTTCAAAATAACCCTTACGAAAGACCTTTTACAATACAGAATTGAAATTATCTTGAAAATTATATGTAAAGAAATCATGTACAGGAAATGTTGTACTATTCATTCCCCAATTGTTAAATGTCTCAATTTCCGAGTCAATTTTCACCAATATTTTAATGCAAGATTTTCTATTACTCTTTAGACTCTTATTACGTCTGCTTCAAAAATGTCTCAATAAAAATTTAAATTGGGTACATAATTGGGTTTCAAGTCAAAACATAGAAAAATTGTTTCTCGATTGGGACAGATTGCAAATTTGCACAATTTTCGTATATTTTTGGTAACATTTTCAAAACAAGTTTTATTAATATCCATTTTGAACCTCAATGATGCAATGCTTTTAAATTTTTTTGGAAAACGCATATAAATATGATTGTAAGGTCATGAAGTAAAGGTTACTGACGTTATTATTATCGCAATTTTCAAGTTTTGCAATCCACTTTGAAGCAAAAGTCGGGTTTTTAATCTGATACGGTTTTTGCTTACTAGTGCCGATGCGGATTATGAATTTTTCAAAAGTTTGTTAAAGCAAAATAAGAAATCGACCAAAAAAAGGGTTTACCTCTATTCTGCAAAAATCCCTTGCGCTATGAAAGGGACAATTTTCAAATTTATCACGTTTTGCGAATTATTTGGTAAAACCATTCCGGTTCTTGTTCGTTTGCAGCCAAAGTGTGGCACAATTTTTTCAGATCTTTGCCATTCAAAATGGAAACTTAATAAAAACTTTGAGATTTATTATGAAATAGAGAATACTTTGTGAGCTTGCAATTTTCAAGTTTATCCAATTCTTTGTGAATTTTTGTCAATTTTTAATGTCCAGCGTTTTAGACCAGCTGCTTTTCATACATTTTTGAAAAATTTTACCGTCAAAATCAAGAGCAAACAAGTTAAATATACTGAAAATATTAGAAAAACTTGTTAGTCAAGCGCCTGGATTTTTATACATGAACTCAGCCAAGCCGAGCTATAAAGGACAACTTTTCAACAGTATTTTAAATAAATAAAACTTATTGTATCATTACATTATATTACCATACGTTAATGACATCGATGTATGCCTGAAAAATGACGATTACACGTAAGGATAGATTAGAAGTACGTGGGCCCAGTACAATTTGTTTTATCACAGCACATTTATACAAAAGCCTTTGAGAAAAGAGCTGCGGTTTTCTGGATCGAGACTCCTTAACCATTTTAAGAGCCACATTGAGAGCTTGATGGACTCTTGATGACTGGGCGACGGTAGTCCTCTCCAGCAATCCTCAGCTACATGATACAACAGCAACAATTCATACGTTATTGTCGTTAAGGAGAGGAAGAATTAGGGCAGGATTTGGATGTTAAAGTAATGCTGCAAAGGGTCTGTAGGAGCAAGAGAAAACGGAGCATTGGCTTATAAGATAGTTTTACGGGTTAAAGAGTAACTAGACCTGCATAGGAAGATGTCTAAACTGGTTGGCTGAATAAAGAAGAAATATTAAATCGGTTTGATTATTAAGGGGGCACCTGATCCAAGCAGGTCAACGTTAAAATACATTTTGATTCGTCGCACCTAATTCAACACTTTTGATCTTTGAGGTCTCTGTATATCACATCCCAATTTGCTTAGAAACTCACACCATCCCATAGGCGGCAATCGAACGCTTTAGTCCCAATTTTTTAAAGAATGATTGCCGGAATTGAATGAAGCATTAAAAATAAATAGATCAACTGGCTAAAAAAGTTGCTGAAGTAATGTAATTTTCAGTTAAAAGGCATAATTTCTAATTTTCTTTGTGTGGAAAACAAGCAGGTAGTCTTGACCGCCCGATTACAACCTCCACCATCATCCCATGAAAGAAAGAGGAGCTAAAACGATCCAAAGCCTCATTGGCAATTATGAACACTTAATAAGTTATACACGTATTTACATTGAAACATATTAATCCAAGAAGAAAGTGACTTAGGCCCAGCCAAGGCCACTTTTTCCTTCAAAAATACTTACCCTGAATGTTACCACACTTACTTTTACTAGTTCTAATCATATACAGACAGTAGTAGGTAGGCATAGGCTAGACTATAAAGAGCTGGGCACAGGTGGCGTTTGCAGGAAAACGCTTTTGGGCTTTTGTGCCGCCACCGCTTACCCAACGTTGATTGTTATTGGTTGGCTTGGTAAAGTTAACATTGTCATAAACTATACAACAAATGCAAATATGTTCAAAAATAGAATTTTTACATTCAGCAAGTCGGGGTTTATCGTTTCTGGTTGCCCTCGCAACAGCACATTCCAGCGTTTCGATTGCCAGCATGCCACACATCCTCAGTGTGCTCAATTGGCGCCCAGCAGCTCGCCAGATGATTGGTGCAGACGAAATAAAGGGGCGTCTTACTTCCGCAGCGAATGCCACATCGCCACCGGTTTGCGCAGCGTCGTCAGCATTTGGTTCCAGTGGTTCAGAGAGCGTCCGCACGCTTGCGAACCCACAATCACGTGGCCAATTGGAGCTGCCTTCACATTGTCTTCTGAGGCCACTTCGGACACAGTCAGCCTCATCTGGATCGTCTGAAAGAATCAGATATTTATAAACCAGATTTTTGCAAATTTGCACGAACCGAGCAAGCAATAAAGCAACCAAGCGCAAAACAGATTAATGAGAAAAATACACAAAAGAAATGATTAGAGGGAGCTTATCGAAACTACCTGAAACCATATTATAACCAAGATGAAGAAAAAAACCGCTTCAGGAACATCACAGTCACCAATCCCATCTCAGAGAAATAAACCAATCAGACGTGACTCACATTAAGGGTGTGGGCCGGCACGCTAAACATCATGGCCTCATTGAAAATCGGACATCGTTCACCTCGTTTCGTTGAGGTCTTCTTCTTGTTCACCTTCCTATTCTGCTGCATCAGATACACCTAATACAATCACAGTATAGATAAAACAGCGCGTAAACGCAAACAACAGTCCTTCCTTACTTTGACAAACACCTCCATGGTGGAGGTGAGTGGAAACTTGAGGTTCCGTGCCTTTACTACGACCACAGTGAGTCTTTCGGCTGTTGGCAAATAGCTCAACGAGAAAAGGATTTCACCAAACTCGGTGCCTTTCTGGAAATCTCAACTAAGTCCAAGGTGACGCGCCAAAGTGTCTTCCATACCTGCCCAGTGTCGGTGAGTGTAACCCATGTGGTCACTGGCTGCCTTAGACTGACATCAGTGAGTCGCAGCTCGCCCTCACCAATCAGCGTGTGCGATACCAGGTCAGTCGCGTAGAGGTGGAAGCACAAAGCCCTCTGCAACGAATAAAACACACCCGGAAACAGTTGATTTGCCCATCAACGAAACAGGATGAACCAACCTGCATTTGCTCCCGGGGATTGAGTGAAAAGAGAAAACGCTCTTTGTAGCTGGGACTGCTGGTACTCCGATACACCTTGGTCTGTATAGTGGCCTCTTTATCAGGCAACAGCGACACTCGGACATAAGTATCCAAGTATCCATCCACTTTTACCACTCCCGTCAGGTCTTTGGCTTCCAGTACATTCACTATGAAGTCCCAACTTTCGCTGCAAAAACCCGCGGAAAACCTCAAAGCCTAGAAACTCGACCAAGAGCTCCTACCTGTCGTATTCTAGGCCGATGCAAAGATAGCCCGTCACATTGAAGGCCTCCAAGTCGCTGAGAGCGACGGAAGTTTCTGAACAGACGCTGTCGCAGGACAGTGCCCGCTTGATGGCTACTGGAACCACTTCTGCTTCCTCAAAGCTTCCAGAGCTATCTACAAAAGAACGCTTGTCAGCTGTGGAAGACTGTTGTCTGAGTCTTACCTTTGAGCTCTTTGGATTGCTGCTGCTGAGGAAGCGCGCTCAGCTTCAAAGGGGCGCTTTGAGTGCGGGAGACGTTTCTAGCCTGGGGTGCTGGAGGCGGATCCAGACTGACCGGGAATGAAGACTGCGATGCCAACCCAGCCATATTTACCGAGCTCACCGGTCTGGGGATGGGCGAAATGGATGTTGATTCCACTAGGCCCTCCCTGGAACAGCCAAAGTCCTCAACAGCTCCCCTTTTGGATGTTCAATGTGCTCTTACGTGAAAAGCTTTTGTTTATTGAGGGCAAAGTCCTTCTCCTCGAGCTCCACTTTGAGGCTGGATGGGGAAACGGAGCCTGGCACGGGGGCAGGCCGGAGAGGCTGCGGAGGTATCATCTCTTCGACATTCGACTGCCAATTGGAGAGGCTGGTGGTGGCTACTGATGTCTTGAAGTCGCGATCGATCGAATCGAAGCGCTTGAAGCTGCCGCTGCTCCAGTCAAGTTGAATGTCTGAGTCTGAATGGACCTGGATCACATTCATAAAGGAACTTTGTAGGTGACTCCTATGTAGGTATAATTCAATGTGAATTTCTTAAAATCCATTAAAGCTTTGATCAAGCGACCTGGATACCGCAGCATTTAAATCATAATTGGAAAAGCACAGAACAGTATCCAGATAGGATCTGGACAAGTCCGCTACGTACCAAGTAACCGTTGGCGTTGTAATGGCCTTTCAGCCTCGTAAGCCCGACTTTCTCCTCCTTGTTTGACGATATCCAAGCGTTGATCCAGTTCAGAATATTCAAAGAATGGTAGAAAACCAGAATCAACAGCACGGCCACCACCACGATGCAAATAATCGTCACAGCAAACTGTTCGTTTCCCATTTCTGGACCAAAGCTAAATTTCCTGGATGCCTGACTTATAAGGCTAGAGGAACTCACCCAACGGTCTAGATCGCTGGAAAAGCACCCGTTTCTCTTCATTTCATATGGCAGGAGAAGCACCAGCGGATGCGCTTGTTCCGAGGTGCTGGACATTGGATGCACTATGAAATGTGGACATGTTTGTGGCGTTTTTTTGGCTGATTGAGCTGGTTTTTTTGCGTGTTTGGTTCAGTCACAGCAATCGCACGCGCGTCACATTGCGAGATGATTTTCCAGACAAAGCGGGCCTCAGGGCTGTCTAGTGCGCAACAACCCCCCATTTATAGGCCTGCCCTTTGCGGCGATCGTATATTTTACCTTTCCAGGCTTGCCAGAAGGAAATTTAACCGTTGGTAAAAGATGCGTCTTATTCGGAGAATAAGGCGCATTTTGATTCTGACTCTGAGCTCAAAAGCTGTATAAATTCGCAAATAGCCCGTGCAAAGGATGAGACAATGTAAGAGTTTGTTTACAAATCGACGTTCTGATCTGTTTCTATGATATGTTTTTTTAAATTAATCTTTGGGCGCATTTTCCTGGATTGCGCTGAGTGGTAAAGCCCATAAAATCAGAGAAGTCTTGCATTGAGACCTTGGACCACTTGAATCAGTCCAAAACATGCGCAAAATGGGGCCGATAGATTCAGCCGATAGATATTTCTCTCTCAACAATGCGCATTGAAGCAAATATTCAGGGAACGAGAATGTTCCGTTTAATAAAATTCCGGAAATCTTGCGGAAATTCGATGACATCCATCAGATTGCCAGTTTGGGAATATCAAAAAGTTTAAAAACGGTTCGGACATTCATTCCTCTAAACCCGAACTGGCTTATAAAATATTTTTAAGGGTCTTGGAATTGATCAAATTTTTTCCCAAAGCTTCCAAGGTTTCCCAATCGACTGTGAAAGTATCTTCTGAATGAATAAGTTGGGAAAATTTTGTGAAAAGGACTAGATGCATTATAACGTCTAAACTTTATTTAAATGTCTCTTAAAGTATGTTTTCTATTTCGAAATCAAATCTAATATTAGAAACTTGGTTTTCTAAATTACGGATCGTTCGCCACAATTTTTAGGTATCTTCAAGACCCAAATCCTGCAATAGCACGAAACAGTGAATCTGAAATATGCTCTTTTCATTTTTACATTAAATTGTGCTCTTACTTGATTTCATTCGTTCGTTTTCAAAGCTCAGAATTTCTTCAAATTAGGCCTTAAGACGGAAACCATTGGATGAATGGGGTCTCTAAGCTCTCAGGCAATTTTTCACAATTTGACTAGAAACATTGTTTTGAATTATTGATGAATTTCAACCTGGATCTCCCAGAGATCTATCACCTCTCTATCGACCAGGTTATTTGTTTTGCTTCTCTTTGAAAGTTGCGAAGATCTACTGGCAATAATTTACAACGATTTGAAAGGACATATGTGAACATTCAATAGTGACAATCCAAAATAGCTTTAAAAAACTGAATTCATTAAGCAGACACTTGAAACTTGCACAGTCCATAGACGACAGTTACGTCTCAACACACTACAAATTTCGGCCAAATCGCCTTAATCTCTGGTTTGTGGCTACTGGGAAAATATGACATAAAAATGGGCGTTTTTGCCCAAAACCACTTTTTGGTTAAAATATTCCTAACTTCCAATCTTGAGCAAGTAGACACTTGAAACTTTCACAGTCTATAGGAGTTAGTTGAGGTTCAAACTGCTGCAAATATTACCCAAATCGCCATAATCCCTGATTTTTGGTGACTTGGAAATGTTGGTATAAAAATGGGCATTTTTGTCCAAAAACACGCTTCGCTTCAAAAACTCCCAACTTCCAATATAGATCCAGCAGACACTTGAAACTTCTACAGTCCATAGACGACAGATGCAGCTTAAACTACTGCAAATATCACCCGAATTCCCATAATTCCTGATTTTTGGTTACAAGGTATATTGGTATAAAAATGGGTGTTTTCGCCCAAAAACAATATTTGCTTCAAAACATCCCAACTTCCAATCTAGAGCAGGCAGGCACTTGAAACTTTTTTGAAAATGTTTTTGAAAATTAATTGCATATATCAGATCGTTTTTCTATTATTAATCCCTCAAATTTGCAATTTTTTGTTGGCCTGCAATTGATAGTGCATTTTGTACAGGTTTGGGCAAGTTCGCTTAAATCGATCTCGAAATTTCGGTTCGCATTTATTTTATAGGCATCTGCAGAATTGATTTTCAATTGTATTGGTATGAAAGCGACTGTTTTCAAATATTCGCAAGTCAAAAACCACAGCGGTTAAAAAAAATGCATTTTGTCTATCAAACAGAAAACGTTTTCTGACTACAACTTACTACAATTTTATTCAAATCGGTCTTTTGGATATCCTAATCTCTATCAAATAGATTATGATTTTTGCTTCATTTCTTCAGACTTTCTTCAAAACTTTACTTTTGTTCATATTAGCTAAACGTGCATGTTTTGTAAAAAAAAAATTGGTAGATCGTTCTTCTATCAGCTTCAACTTTACAATTTATTACAGGATGTCTTCAACTTTAATTGATAGTGTTTACACTTTTAGTGAAGTTCATTTAAATGGCTCTCTAAATCTCGTTTCGACAATTTAAACAATTCAGTGACACAGATTGATTTCAAATATTCGCAATTCAAAATCCAAAGCTTCCAGAAAAATTCTATTTTGACTTTTTTTTAGAGAGCTTTTATTAAAATTGAACAAATTGTCCCTTGTTGTTTGGATAAAGTTTGGCTGAAAATCGTCTCTCTAATACTATACTTTCCGGAAATATGCTCTTTGCTCCATTTTTGCTCCAGAGCAATTCTGCCTCTACAATTTTATGTAAATGGTAGTCTAATTGGATTTTTTCAAATATTTTTTTATTGTAGTCATAATTCTGAGTGTAAGTATCATTAGCAATTGAAAGCCGCATTTTCCAACATTTATTGTCTAAAACTTAAACCATCTTTGAACAAGCCCTTAACATTGTCAGACAGATAACCGGAGCCTGCTTTCTGCTACAGTTTACCGAAAATTTGATGAACTTGTGCCTTTTACTGATTTTTGAAAAATTTCTAGTCAAAAACTGGCGGAACAAAATCTAGATTTAAAAGCTAATATTTTAAAATTAATTTTTCAAAATTCGAGCACGTTTGTTAGATACCATTTGCTCCATAGCATGAACCATTATTTTATCTAGTATGACCTAAGGTCTCATTTCAATGAAATGGCTGATGGATTTTCGGAAATTTTTTACGACTCACGACAAAAAAATGTCAAAAACCCCAAAATCGGCCTGTTTGAGGTACTGATCACTCTTCTCTTTAGAACTGGCCTAACAGCTTTAATGCTAATTACGCTATTAAATAATGCATGCTTTTGGCTTCAGCTTTCCACAATTTTAGTAAAATTATGACTTTTTGTTAAGGAATAATTAAGTATACCGTTTCAGTAGTTCTGAACTCTTCATACATATAGGGTGTCGCAATAAGGATGGTAAGCGGCTGTATCTTGGAAAGTATGAGTAGTAGAGTGATCGGAAAAAAAATTGATAACAAACTTGAAGAGAAAAATTTGCTGGACATTATTTTGAAATTTCTCAGATGATGTAATTGCAAATGGTATTTTAAAAAGTCGATTTTATACAGAAATTGTCCCTATAAGTGAAACATCTAATAAGTTTAGTTAAAAGATCATATAAAACCGTTACTACTTTCCTGATGAACTTTTTCCCTAACTTGTCAAATAAAGCGTGGGGGGAGAGTCAAACCGCTTAATACAAAGAAACCTGTAACTCCGAAACGGCTTCACCGATTTCAAAGATTTTACTACCAATTGAAAGAGCAATAAAACTACAATATGTGATATAAAATCAATCTTAATCAGTTTCGAAAAATCCGCTGTTCGAAAAAAATAATTTGTTTTAATTTTTCACAAAAATTTCAAATACTACCATCAAATTATTTTACACGCATTCAAAAGCCCAGGAAAAAATGAACTAAACCGCAAAAACATCATCTTAAAATAATTTCGGGAATCGATTTAATACTTGAAAATAATAAAGGTTGCCTGATTTAAATAACTAAAGCCGCTTACCATCCTTATTGCGACACCCTGTATATGGTTGGTCCGTGTGTTCGCCGCAAATCTAGTTGGAGATAACAACAGGATTTCTGATCTCCCTACAGTGGACGGTGTCTTCATGGCTAAACAAAGAATGATGTCACTACATTCAAGGCAATTTTGAAAGAAGTGTTAAATTTGGTTGATTTTTCGCAGCCAATCGCTCTGTGATTAAAAACGCAATAATTATTTGCAAGATACAAATCTATGAATCAAGATTAGCATGCTGCCGGCTGTTTCTCAAATCGCCGTTTCAGATAAATACATCATTAATTTGGAGGCAATTTGTTGTCAAATTTTGGAATGTTCTTCCAGGAGTTTCTCTAGGTATACATTAACTCGTTAAAGATTTCATGGCCGATTTCAGCAACATTGGGCTCCGATATTCTCATCCAAGTGAGGAAACCTTTCAACTCCACTATGGATTTTTCCCATGTCCAACCCACGCCACTTACTGTTTGATTAAGGAGATAAATACCCTTCCAAAAGCGAGCAGAAACGACAATATACGACTGGGCATATCCTGCAGGTCGCTCAGGATTCATTCATCGGGCGCGTTGCGTAGTAGCTGGCGCGAAACTGTGCAGCTGAATCCCAAGCTAGCTTTAAAACAGCTGTTACCGAAAAAGTTGATGGTCCTTTCAGCCAGGTTGGTTTTCGTGTTGTGGCTTTTATTCACCTTCCTGCTGTCTTCCTTTCATCCTGCTTGCTGCTTTCGTTTCGCCGGCTTGATGGATGGATGCGAAGCGCATATGGTTCATCCATATAAGGATGATGTTTGGATGCTGGCTGGCTGGAGTCGTCGGTTGTGATCTGGGGATCAGTTTTGCTTAGTTAAACTTAGCTGGATGCTATGGAGCAATTAGTGGGGCTCCGATAACAAGGTTTTTACGCTGCAATAGTGCGATAGTTGCCACTCCTACTTATTTAACCGAAGCTTTTGATTCTCCACTGATTTTGGCAAGAAATATTTTATGGGAGTTTTGAAAGCTTTAACTGTGTTCAATTGGCAATTATGTTCCAAACTTAATTTAGGACAGTTTCTTGACGGTCGCAAAATCTTTAGAGCACAATAGGCTTCTATTGCTTCTTCGCAGCAACCTAAAAAATCGCTCAAGAAGCTGAAGGGTCGACAAAAACCACACATTTCATGTACATGCCCGCTTCTAATTAAAAAAAGTAGTAATCACCTGGTTCTAGACCTGGAAAATATGGTGGGCTCGGCAGTATTCGGCGCAGCCGTGGGCACGGGCGCAGCTCTAGTGATCGCCATGACCATTGTCGTCTATCGCTACTACAACCTCAAGAGACAGGCTAAGGAGTGGACATACATCGATAAGCTTCCCTACCATTCAGTGCAACAGAAAGTCCCCGTACATAAACCCATAGGAACCTACCCTCGCACGGTAAGTAGATAATGGCTAGGTCAGAACCTTATGTGGACATTTGGGGAAGCAGATGGTTCTTGAAAGTGTCGGGATTGAGAAACACGAGGAGATCAGGAACAACTTAGAGTTTACTGAAATTTGGTATCCGGGGGTTTCGAAGGAACCAAATTTATTTGTATATCTGTTTTCCAATATTTTCTAAGCAAAACAGGTGTACTTAGTTGGTATCATTAAGATCCCGACCGTATTCCAGATACATTTGATCTTATGGGGTGTCCAGACCTGACGAGCCGAGCCTGAGCCAACAGTTCCAGGCATCTGTAGCCAGACTTGGGTATATAGAAAACTGGAAAATCTGTCGCAAATGAACATGTTTTGCCACACTTATCAGGGCTGTTTCACAGCAGGAAAACATAGGCTTTTATAAGGGCTGCGCGTTTGAGTAATCAAAGTCATTGCCACTCAAGTGCGCTCCAATTTGTCAACAAGGGAGATCGATCCGGGAAAAGCGAAGCAACCTGTTTTCCCCAATGTTGGCTGTAATTTGACCGGGAACATGCCGCGAACCTGTTGAACGTTATCGACGTTCGTCGACCTTTGATGACGTTCGCGATCCTGCAGGTTCGGCGTCGACGCCAGGATTTCTGCTCCTGCGGCCTGGTTAGTCCCGAGCCACCATCCCCAACTGCTCCGCACCGCATCCATCCTGCTTATTTGTAAATATGGCGATTCGATTGTTGATGGGGCGAAATTGAGCGAAATCGGGCGCGAATGTCGGGTTTCAGTCCGGCCAGTTGTTGGCTGGCCCACAAAACTGTGGGCAGGTGGACGAGGGCGGCGAAAGAGCGCACTTGGGGCAACAAGAATGGAAGCAACAGTAGCGATAACAGTTTGGAGGTAAATTCCGTTTTCCTGGACAATATTTAGGAAAATACTACTAGGGCGAGGTTGGGTTGAAGACTTTGGAAGAAATCCTGCGGATTACTGGAAATTGCGTTCAAATTGTCACTTGTATGATTCATGGAGAAAACGCAACTGCCACATACAACTTCCAGTCTTAGGTTCTTTCCGTTTTATGTGCGAATGTGGCTCTAGATTCTAGACCACAAAAATATTTTCATTGCTTATTTAAAAATCTTTTAGACAGATCTCTAGAATTTAGGAATGTTTTCCGGGCTTTGAAGCCGTGGTCTATCGGAATTTCTTCCTGACGTTTCGTCCACAACTGCGGTGGACATTTTCAAAGGCGA